TCTCTGTGCATTGGCTGCTCTGAGCAGGAATACCATCCTCAAGGCTGGGTGGGCCAGGATGTGTTTCACTCTCTCTTCTTCCCCCTTCTTTGCTCCTGTGTGTGCTCTGATCAGACATGCCCCTCTCCCTGAGCTGTAGCTTCAGTCCTGTCCTCTGAAGTGAATTCTTCTGCGAGGACTGGGGCTGTCCTTGTAGTTGGAATTGGGGCTGGCCCCTCAGACCTCTCGATTGGTTCCCTGCATGAATCTTTTTTTTAACCCTTTCACCCCCCTTCTGTCTCTCTGTCTCTCTCTCTCTCTGACACACACACACACAGACACACACCTTTGGCAGTGGCTAGAGATACAGGATTGAGAGCCACCAGCTTACAGAGAGCAAGTGGAGTTGCCTCAACTGAGTCTCCAACCTTGCAGTTAGCCACCCAACACTTCCTGACAGCCCTACCAGGGTTCCTTTCTGCACTTCCACCTCATTTCTGCTGGAAGGGAACCTTCTGAACCTGCCTCCCTGAGATTCCACTCAGAGAACGGATTTGCATGTGCTTCCATTGGCAGCCCAAGTTTAAATCGGCGAAGCTCAGGCTCAGACATATACTCAGGTTCCACAACAAATGTCTTGTGCTTGTGCTATTCCAGCAGAAGTATAAATGAATAGGTTCTAGGTTTCACACCTCAGTATGAAGGACCGAGGGTTAAATACTATTTTGAAAGTACTCCCATGTATGTTCTATCGTGCAGCTTCCTCATTTCTGGTTACAGACTCTTAAATGAGCCCCTCCTTCCAGTGGTTTACCTGAGATGTTTTACAGCTCCAAGTCTAAAGGATTATGGCTTATAAGAAAGCCTAAGTGCTTTCAACCCCAAACCATGTCCATTGACTTTATTCTAATAAAACAGTTTTTGTTTGCAAAGACTCTTTCAAAGTAGCTGGTGAGGTTATTTTAAAACTGAAGATAGCGACAATTTTTTTACAAACCGTAACTGCCTCATTAATTTTTCAAAGTTTAATAATTAGTTTTAACCATGTCACCAACATGCAGTTTGCATATCCTGCATTTCAGTAGTTCAACTACATTCATAAGAGTTGTGCAACTCTTTGGTACACCTAACTCCAGGATATTTCTTCTTCCTTGTACCCCTTGTTGTTAGTTACTCCCCATTTCTTGCCAGCCTTCCCTGTCATGTCCCTTTGAATCTATTGATCCCACTGTTTTCTCTATAGGCTTATGTAATCTGGGTTTCATGTACAGAAAGGAAAGCAAAATCAAGACAGAATACAAACAAATTGTCCAACAATGACACAATGAAACCAAGAAAAATACCAATCGATAACAAAGCAGAAACTATTGAAAACGGGAGCACTTAGACACTGGGTCAAGAGGGAGATCCCTGACAAGGTGTCACATTTTGACTGAGCTACAAGTGCAGTGATCCACCCTGCAGTGTGCTCTGCCTGGTAACACGGCCTTTCCCTTCCCTGGTCCCTAGCAGGAGGGAGTTTACCAAGTCATTTTATTGGAGGCTCTTATAGCCCTTATAACATTCCATACATCAGTTGTACCAAGCATATGTTGCCAGCATCATTTCCCAAACATTTTCTACTTGAGCCCTTCGTATGAGCTCCTCTTTCTCCCCCTTGTTCCCCCATCCTTCCACCCACGTGAATCCTTGATCAACTACATATTATTATTTCCTATCTTACACTGTCCATTGTCTCCCTTCACCCACATTTCTGTTATTCATCCCCTTTGGGGCGGAAGGGGTGCATGGGCTATATATTCAATCTTGTGATGGGTTACCCCTTTCTCACCCTTCCCCCACCCTGGCCATCCCCCTACCCTCATGATATTGCTACTCCAACTACTGATCCTGTGGGGCTTATCTTTCCTGAACTCCATGTGTCGAGAGCACATATATGTACCACTGTGTGTTCTCCGGTCTAGCCAGATTTGTAAGGTAGAACTGGGTCATGGTTGTAGGGGGAGGAAGTATTCAGGAACTAGAAGAATGATGTGTGTTTTGCCGGTGCTATAGTACACCTTGGGTGAATCATCCTTTTCTCATTACCCTTCTGTGGGGGAATATCCAATTATCTACAGATGGGCTTTGGGTCTCCACCCCAGCCCCATTCCTTCACTTTAATGTAGTTGTTTGGGATCTTTTGATACATGATGCCTGATCCCATCGACACCTCATGATCACACAGGCTGGTGTGCTTCTTCCATGTGGGCTTATTTGCTTTCCTGCTAGATGGCCGCTTTGGGTCTCTACTCCATGCTCGCCCTCATTCACAATGATATGTTTTTTTTTGTTCTTTGATGCATGATGCCTGATCCCATCGACACCTCATGATCACACAGGCTGGTGTGCTTCTTCCATGTGGGCTTATTTGCTTTCCTGCTACATGGCCGCTTGTTTGACTTTAAGCCTTTAAGACCCCTGTATCTTTTGATAGCCGGGCACCATCTGCTCTCTTCACCACATTTGCTTATGGACCCATTTTGTTTCAGCGATCATGTTGGAAAGGTGAGTATCAAAGAGTACCAGATTATTAGAACAAAGTGTTCTTGTGTTAATGGAGTCCTTAATAGAGGCCCAAAGTCTGTCTGCTATCTTAATACCTAACATATAAATATATGTACATTGGGCTCTATCCCTTTCATTATAAATGTACACTTATTTGCATATATACATGCCTATAACTATACCTTTATAAATAGCTTTTGCTTCCTATTTATTTATTTATTTTTTTGGAAGGGCAGGCGGAACGCCTCCTATTTCTTTTCTCTATTTCCTTTCACCTTCCTCCTATCTCACTATCATGCTCACCCTCCCTTTCGCTTTCAGTATTTTCTCTCGGACACATTGCTCTTGGTCACACCCCACCCAGCATTATGCGTCCTCCTCACCATCAATTTTAGATCTCTTGTTTTCTTGTTCGTTTATCTCTGAGTTTGTTGGCTTCTCACTCCCCCTACCCACCCCCTCTTCTCCCATGTCTCCCCAGAACCATCAGTCCTGTTGTTTTCTCCTCGGGATTGTTAGTCCTGCCTATCTTATATAGATAAACATACGGCAGAAGAAAAGGAAAAACAAAACATAATAGAACAAACAGAACAAGAAAACAATAACAAAAACACAATAGATCATTCCAGGTCTGTCGGCTGATCCTTACGTATGCTTTCCGGTCACAGACTAAATCATTTTTATCACAGGAACTTCCGTTAAAACACTAGCTGGAAAAGTTGAGAAGACAGTTTCAAGTCACAGAAGCATCAGTCGGCCAATTGGTAGAATTGATGCTGCCGAGGCATTCATCAAAAAAGAGCTACAAGAAGAACTAAAGGTGAGAAGCCTTCTCCTTGATTAGTATACATATAGGCAAATTCATTTTAATAATGGAGTTAAGAGGAATATACCTTAATGACGGTATTTTTCATAGTGAAATGAAAAGCAAATATTAGTGCTTTTAGAGGTCAAGATCTCTACCTTACATCGTTGTAAGTATTGCATTTCTCCTCTCCATCCATGATACTGGAGCAGTAACTAGAAATATGCTTCTTATGCATATGCTGCCGTGCAGGTTTCAGAATTGCGTCTCCTGTGTATCACTTGATATTACAGATAGGAGATGCCTGGGACAAAGAGCTCATGGCACATTCCTTGGGGTCTGGATTCCGGTCAGGGACTTTTCTGCTACCCTGTTGTGACCTTGAATTGAACTGTGGCGTTTTCTGACCTTGTCCTGCTCGTGGGTCGAGTCAGTAGAGGAATGTTTCAGATAGATGTATGAAGGAAGGGAGGGCGGAGCCTGTGTTAGAGGCAAGGCAGTTTCAACACCCATGTCATCAGAAGCGGTTTCTGTGGGTCACATTCTCCCTCTGTATTTCTGGGACTAGCTTAAAGATGTTCACCAGGTCTTACTTTTTTCACTTAAATTAGGCGTCATCTTTATCCTCCTCTATGGAATCCTGAGGAGCCCTAGTGGTATAGTGGTTACGAATTGGGCTGCCAACCAAGAGGTCAGCAGTTCGAAACTACCAGCCACTCCTCTGGGAGAAAGATGAGGCCTTTTATTCCCGTAAAGGGTTAGTCTTGGACCCACAGGGACAGTTCTGTCCTGCCCCATTGGGCCCTTCTGAGTCTGAATCAACTGGATGGCAGTGAGAGCTATGGAATCCAGAGCATTTTGTAAAACTACGTTTATTCACTAGTGCTGTTCGTGACACAGAAGCCATAGATGACAAAGTCATGTGTCGGTTCAGAAAGAGCAAGTGTTTGTTCCTTTGGGAAGGGTGTTGTAGAAACACCACCACCCTCCCCCACCCTCCCACCGCCACCCCAAGTCTTTTGTGATTTCCCCATGGTTAGATTTTCCTGTGTTCCCTGTCACCGAGGTCTAAGAGCCCCAGAGCCGTTCCATCTCCTATTGTTTGGAAACCTTTGGCTTCATATGTTTGCAATGTAGTGGCTTGGGTGTTTTCTAGAATCATGATTGGTAGAGCTGGAAACACCCATTTCCATGTCCAAAAATGAAAACGATGTGGTTCCCCTGGCTTTCAAAGCAAAGACTGATGAATAAATTGTGTTCAGTGGCAGGAGTAACGTCTACTGGAGTTTCCCAGTAGAAGTTCAGTCTAACCAGCAAAGTGCTTACAGGTTTTTTTGTTTTTTGTTTTTTTTAATCATTTTATTGGGGCTCATACAACTCATCACAATCCACACATACATCAATTGTGTAAAGCGCACTTACACATTCATTGCCCTCATTATTCTCAAAACTCTCGCTTTCCGCTTAGGCTCCTGGAATCAGCACCTCATTTCCACCACCCACTTACCTCCCTGCTCCCCGCTCCTTCATGAACCCTTGATAATTTATAAATTATTATTCTATCATATCTTACACTGTCCAGCGTCTCCCTTCACCCACTTTTCTGTTGCCCATCCCCCAGGGAGGAGGTTATATGTAGATCCTTGTAATTGGTTCCCCCTTTCTACCCCACCTTCCCTCCTGGTATCACCACTCTCACCACTGGTCCTGAAAGGTTCGTCTGTCCTGGATTCCCTGTGTTTCCAGTTCCCATCTGCACTGTTGTGCATCTTCTGGTCTAACCAGGTTTGCAAGGTAGAATTGGGACTGAACATCCCTTGCAGAGGGGTAGTGGAGAGGAGATGAGTCACTCAGGGTGCAGTGTAGCATTAATGAAATTCACAACCTTCCTCTAGTTCTTAAACACTCCGCCCCCCACCCCCCACTATCATGATCCCAATTCTACCTTGAAACCTTGCTTACAGGTTTTAAGCCATGCTTTTTCTGTAAGAAATATGATTTTCCATTTCTTTCTTCCAGTGCACAGATGTGGATGATGATGACTGGGACATATCATCCTTAGAAGAGGACAAAGCCCTGGGGAAAGCAATTGAGAAGGATATCAAAGAACCACCTCCAGTTGTGAAGAATGAACCAAATTCAATGCACATTGCAAATGCCTGGGATGCACCTAAGCCTACGAGACCAAAGGGACAAGGTCAGCTACTTTGCTGCCTAGTCAAAGCTCAGTCCGTCTTCCAGTTATTTGTAGGTTACCTTCATAAATACCTACGGTAGCTACACTAATATGCCACCAGACAAAAAAACGATTGATAGAGCAAAGAGCCTGGTGCTTTTTTATATTACTTTAAAATATGGGCCAGATATGTCCCAACATATATTTACTAATCATTTTTGCTTAATGTCAGGCTTAATCTTCAGTTTTAAAAAAATCTTCTTGCCTTATCTTTGAAAATGCCTATAAATGAAATGTTTATTCCTTTCACTGATGGCCCATAGAAGTGAAAATATCGGATCTTATCCTTGAATGAAACTGTTCTTACATTTTTCATGTATTAATTTGCAGGCTCCGTGAGTCTGTCCTTACCTTCCAAGAAAGGTTCTCTTTGCAGCATCGTAGGCAGTCTCCTGTCCGAGTTTCTTCTCATCGTTGCTTTTGAGTCAGTGTGGACCTTCTAGTCTCATGATGATAGTTTTTAAGGAGGACAGTGATTTTAAGGGTCCCAAACAAAACCAAATTCACTGCCATCAAGTCAATGTGCTGACTCCTAGTGACCTGTAGGACATTGGTTCTCAACCTGTGGCTCGCAACCCCTTTGGGGTTTAAGACCCTTTCACAGGGGTCACCTAAGACCACCGGAAGACACCTATTTCCGATGGTCTTAGGAACCGAGACGCCGCTCCTCTGTCCTCTCCAGGCAGGTGCTCCCACATGCAGATGCGGCCAAAAACGAGGACCCGGCGTGAAGACTGTTACCCATGCTACACCCTGCTTCAAGACAACATTTCATTTATTTGTCATTAGAAATAAATATTTCACAATATAGAATTGCATATTGTTTTGGTGATTAATCACTATGCTTTAATTATGTTCAATTTGTAACAAGGAAAATACATCCTGCATATCAGATATTTACATGACTATTCATAACAGTAGCAACATTACAATTATGAAGTAGCAATGAAAATAATGTTATGGTTGGGGTCACCACTGCATGCGGAGCTGTATGAAAGATTGAGCAGCATGAGGAAGGTTGAGAACCGCTGCTCTAGGAGAAGGGAGGACTGCCCCCTGCAGATTGCTGAGGCTGTAAAGCTTTACGGGAGTAGAAAGCGCCATCTTTCTCTGGCAGAGTGAAGTGGCTGGTGGTTTTGACCTTCCAACCTTGCAGATCCCAGCCCATCTCATAACCATGATGCCACCTGGGCTCCTTGATCTTAAGATGCCCCTTATGTTGTGGGCACTGTGCTTTTTCGCTAACAGTAACCATGGGAGATAAACCTGACTCTAGGATTAGAATGTCTCAAGAGGACAGATGGTCTTGGGCAGTTCTCTGTGCTCTGTCTTACTTTGTTTCCATTTGGCTTTGGCTTTTCCCAGTAAAAATTGGTCCCATTCTACCTGGGATCAACTGTTGGGACCCCAGTCAGAACTATACTACTTCTTGATTCATCAACTTTCCACGTTGCTCACGGGTGTCCAACTAAGATATGTAAGGATCTGGTGCATCTTCACCTCCCTCCACCCCTGTCGTCCCCCCTCTTCACCGCTTCCTTACCTCTCTTTGCAACATTAAATGAGGGCATGGAGGGCCCTGCGTCTGCTCTCTCCATTTCTGCAGTATCTCTTGCAACTCTGCCCTGTTCTGGCCCTGCCTGCTTGCCTTGCCCCACCAGCACGTCTGCCCTGTCTTGACTTGCATGCGGTCAGATGATGACATTCGCCTCTTGTTCTGTACCCATCATTAAGGTGTTTGTGCTGTGTCTAAACGTTGAGTTGTCTCATAGTTGACAACTGTAAGACCATGCTTAGCTGATGCTAACTCTGTCAGGTGCACAGGGCCGAGTGTGGGACTGTTTGTTCAGTGCCAGGGCCCACTGCCCCTTGAAGGAAACGTCCCTGGAGTCAAACTCAAGGGCATTCTCCACACAGCACTTTCTCAGGGGCTCACAATCAAGGCACTTTTCAAAATGCACTATACATTTAAAATGTACTTCATCTACCACACCAAATCTGTTAGCACTTAATCCCTACCTGGCATTTCAGCTTTATTCTCTTCTGCCTGCTGCCTGCATTGGTGAGCTGGGAGGGTGTCCTAGAGTTGTGGCTGCTCATAGCGAGATTTTATAGTCACCTTCTGTTGGCTCACCTTTCTTTGGAATTATGTTTATAAATTTCTTTGTAAATATGGATCTCTTCCAGGCACTTGGCCAAGTAGTTGTCTTCTACATTCAGTATAACAGATGAGTGTTGAAGCATTTCAATGGGTATAATGCCAGTTCCTGGAGCCTGATTATTCTGCCAATTCCTCGAGCCTGGCTAATGCTTTCAGTGCAGCTTGAACGACTTCCTTCAGCACCATTGGTTCTTGCTTAACACTTAATACTACCTCCTGAAATGCTGGAAAGTTTTTTGGAACAGTGGCTCTATTCTTTCCCTCTTCCTCTTCCATTTTTAATAAATCATTTTATTGGGGGCTCTTACAGCTTCTATTTTTGATAAATCATTTTATTGGGAGCTCTTAGAGCTTCTATTTTTAATAAATCACTTTATCGGGGGCTCTTACAGCTTTTATAACAATCCATACATCAATTGTGTCAAACACATTTGTACATATGTTGCCATCATCATTTTCTTTTTTTGTTGTTGTTGTTTTGTTTTTGCCATCATCATTTTCAAACCATTTTCTTTCTGCTGGAGCCCTTGGTATCAACTTCTCTTTTTTTCTCTCCCTCCCTCACTCTCCCACCCTCACGGACCCCTGATAAATGATAAATTATTATTATTGTCATATCTTACACTGATCGCTTTCAGCTTTCACCCACTTTCTGTTGTTTGTCCCTGGGGGTTGGGGTTGGTGGGGTGAGTGTTAATACATCGATCATTGTAATCAGTTCCCCTTCTCCCCTTTCTCCCCACACCTTCCCTCTACCCTCGTGATATCATTACTCCCATTACTGTTCCTGAGTGTTCTATCTGTCCTGGATTCCATGTCGAGAGCTCTTATCTGAGAGCTCTTATCTGTACCAGCGTACTTGCTCTGGTCTAGCTGGATTTGTAAGGTAGATCTGGATCATGATAATTGGGGGTCTGGGGGCCAGCATTAAAGAACTAGAGGAATGTTGTATGTTCCATTGGTGCTATGCTGCACCCTGGCTGACTTGTTCCTTGTGACCCTTCTGTGATGGGCTGTCCAATTGTCTTTGGGGCTTTGGGTCTCTACTCTGACCCCCATTGTTTGCATCAATATATTTGTTTGGATCTTCTGTTGCTTAATACCTGATCCCATCGACACCTCATGATCACACAGGCTGTTATGCTTCATCCATGTGGGCTTTGTTGCTTCCCTGCTAGATGGCCACTTGTTTAACTTAAGATCTCTAAGACCCCTGATGCTATATCTTTTAACAGCTGGGCACTATCAGCTTTCTTCGCCACATTTGCTTATGCACCCATTTTGACTTCAGCGATCCTGTCGGGAAGGTGAGCATCACAGAATGCCACATTATTAGAACAAAGTGTTCTTGCGTGGAGAGAGTACTTGAGTAGAGACCCAATGCCCATCTGCTACCTTAATAGTTAACATTTAAATATATGTGCATAAACCTATATCCATATCACTGTATAGTAATATATTTACATATATGCATATCTGTATTCATACCTCTATAAATGCCTTTTGCCTCCTAATTCTTTCCACTATTTCGTTTTACTTTCCTCCTGTCCACTATCATGTTCGACCTTCACTCTGTTCTCAGTACTTTTTCTCAGCTGCATTGCACTTGATGAGACCCCACCAGGCATTCTATGTCCATCTTCTTGTGATGCTTCTTGCATCATTCAATATTTTGTCTGTAGAATCATTCAGTGTTGAAACTCGGGGCTTGAATTTATTTCCGTTTCTAATATGCTGAGCATATTCTTCCTTTTTGGTTTTATAATTCTAGGGCTGTTCATATTTCCTTATTATATTGAGCACTGGTGGCATTGTAGGCTAGGCATTGGGCTGCTAACCAAAGGTTGTACATTCAGACCTTCCAGCCACTCTGAGGGAGAAGGCTGAGGCTGTCAGCTCCCATAAAGGTTTTAGTCTGGGAAACCCCATGGAGCAGTTCTATCTACTTTGCCCTACATGGTTGCTTTGAGTCAGAATCGACTGCGAGCACTGGTGTTTAGTAGTGTGCTCTTTCTCCTTCAAGCCTATCCAATTCTAGGTTCCATAATGCAGTGCAATGGCTACACAGAACTCATACACGATGCTCTTGATTAGAGGGTTTATTGAGGAAGTTACTAAGTTGTTACAATTCAGAGGAAGTTACTAAGTTGTTACAATTCAGGTGGAAATACTCAGAATAGAGTTCTTCAGTATGTCCGTGTTAAGGAATTTTTGAAGGCTCCCAATAGATGCTCAAAGGGCAGTCCACTCCTCTGTAAGCCTCAACCAGAAGGCTCCAGCTCTGTGACTTCTGCTGGTAGTGAGATAACTATCTCCTACTTCCAGAGGGTTCATCTTAGACCCAGCAGGATGGCAATGGCAATGAACCCTGTTAACAGTTACTCGCAGCTACCAGTGTTTTTCTCTACCTTTTTACCCAGACCCGTGCCAGAAGAGGTCGTTTGGGTAGGAGTTAGAGATTTGGCTTAGAAGATCCACTTTAAGTAGTTAAATGTGTCTCCTTGCTGGCAGTGAGTAAACATTCCGCTGTTAACTGAAAGGTCACCGGTTCACACCCACCTCAGGATTGTGTGCGTCTGTACTTTTAGTCTTGGAACTCTGTGGGGTCAATTCTACCCTAGAGGCACTATGAGTGAGAATTGGCTCCATGGCAATGGGTTTGATTTTGGTTTCTGAACTATGAGCACCTCTCCAATGTGCAGTGGCTCAGAGTGGATTAATGAACAGTTTCAGGCACAGAGCAATAGCTTAGACTATGAAATTTTAGGTTTTTACAGACCTGGCAGTGTTTAATTATCCTCTTTCTAACCTCACAGGACTTCTGGAAAATGGATTAAGCACTTTAAAAAGCAGTTTAGTAATGGTGACTGACTGGAGTGACTCTTCCGATGTCTAAAATTGCAAGTGTCAGAAGGTTCTTCCAGAAGCCCATGGTGTTTCGGTGTCTTTCAAGTGACCTGCATATACGACTATTAACACTGACGCCCCACAGTATTGCCCACAATAACAAGGAAGCGGACGGACGCAGAGAACAAGGATCTCTTTAATGGTACCAATACAGTATGGAAACGCAAGTTGGCTACAGTTTTTTTAAAGCAGATAAATGTGTTGAAGATGTCTGCTGCCGAAAAATAACATGTCCTTGAAGTCATAAAAACGTTTTTTCCTTCAGAATGGTACTCTAGTGTTAAGTGTTTTTTTCAACTAATGTTTAGTGATTTATTTCCCCCTTACTTGATTCCACCAGGTTTTGCTTTGTATTATTAAAACTTTTTTAAAAAACAACAACAACATCTACTTATATAAGTAGTCACCTACTGGAAGTATTATAAAATTCTGCTAGTAACTTTAAAGTTTAATTAGTGGAATCAGTGAAAGTTTCAGAGTAGACTGGTTATTTTTCATATGGAAAGTAGTCTTGCTGGGCTCATTTGAAACACATTTTCCCATGGTATTGTCATAAAATGCCATCGTGAGCATGTTGGTCTTAAAATGATTATTTAATGTAACAGCCTCCAATAAAATAATTTTTAATGTAAAAAAAAAAAGATTATTTAAAACTTAAACTACTATTTCCAGCAGAATAATCTTTACTTTGGATACTCCATGAATAAAAATGTAGCCATTTTAAATGCCGATTAGTTTATCAGAATATGAATAGGAAAGATTTGGATCATTCCTTAATTTGTATGTGTATGTAGACGTTTCATTTTTTAAAGTTTTAATGTTAAACCCATATTATAAAATACCTCAGAACTGATTTTTTTAGTTATGTTGTTGACTAATGACATTGTCAAAGGTCAAAAGATTCGTATAAACCATTTTTTTTTCATTCTGATATTTTGTGGTACTATCTGCACTGTTTCCCCCAAAAGCAGCATTTTAACAAAAAGGTACCTTTTGGTGGGTTTGGGTCTCTTTTTATTTTGTAATACCCCGAAGTAAAGGCCTCCATGGCACCCATTGTGACTGTGGCTGAATTACTAGAGAAGAGGAGACCGATTTCTGAGTTAAACTGTGAAGGGGCTGTGCTACAGGAGAAGCCTCCTTTGGTACTGAGTGTCGGACATCATCCTGAGCTAATGCGTTTGAATGAATCTGTTTCTTCACCTTTCCAGGATCTTTTATTTGAAGCCTATCCCTTACTCTTCTAAAAACCCATACAGCTTTCCAGAGGGGACATTTTATACGAACGTACTAACCTTATACACATGTTTCTAGAAGCTTTAATAAATGCCACAGCAAATTTTCAGAGTCCCAAAGAGAAGAATCACCACACATCCCAAAGAGGGCACAAGCGCCACTCAGGGTGCACAGATCCATTCAATCCGTGATTTATTTCTTTATGAGCCACCCTTAAGATGCACTATTAGTTCCTTTAACTAGGACTTTGAAATATAGTTACTGTCATAAATGCTCATCCCCCCAAATGTGACAGGTTTTAAAATTGGCCAGAGATATTCCAATGGGACACTCCATTCCAAGTTCTGTGACTGCTCCTTCCCTGCTGAATGGGGAGGGTGGGGAGTTGGGACAAACCTCAAAGTAAACACAAATGTAAAGTTAGTACTTCAGTATAGTAAACGTCTAGTGTTCAGTTTATTATTTGGTGCTATAATTTTAATCTAGTAATTACAAAATTAGGGTTTTCTCTTTTCTTTAGACCACTATTTCTCCTCCTGGAATTAATCTCCAGTTGAGCTTTCAATGAAAAAAATGATGATTATTATTGAAAACACAGCCCTGTTCACACACTGGCTGTCTTTTACCCTTTCTGTCAGTTTGTATCTGTGGGAAAGACATTTCAAAGATTGCCATGTTACAGATTTAGATTTGGGGGCTTTTTAAAAATAGCTTGTCCATTTCTTTTTCTTTTCACAGGGAAAATGATGTGGTTTGCTTTTTTAAAAAAGAGTTTTATTAGCATATAGTTCACATATCACACAATTCAATAGTTCAATCACAATGTGATTTTCTTTTTAACTCTTTGATGCTTCAAAAATACTTAATAGTCACCCATGCAGTGCTTAGTGATGGAAAAGTTCTTAAGCCTAGGTAACCCAGATGTCAAGTCTTGTCCAAAGCTTAAAACTGCTTATTTTATTTTGCCCAAGTTTGAAGTCCTGATTTAGTCACTGACTATAGCAAGTTACCTAAACTCTTGGCTTGAGTTTCCTCACTGTAAGTTCAGAATAATCCTAGTGTTTACCTCATAGGGCGGCTGTGAAGATTAGGTGACTCCAGGTGTGTAAAGTGTTTGGAGCAGTGCTCCCTTCATTGTGGCTACCACAGCCGGTGTGCACATGGTCTAAAAGGGCTGGCTCGGGGAATACATCTTTTCTTTGTTCAGAAATCATGGGAGCAGCTAACGTGACAGGGAAAATGGTATGTCTCAATGACCCGATTCCTTTCCTATACAGGATATGGGGGGTAGCTTGGACCTTGGCTCAACAGTTCTGAGGGAGGAAGGTGCCATGCAGACTCCAGGATTTCTTTCCTGAGTTCCAAAGCCGACCGTTACCAGTGCTGAGCTCAGCTCATGCACTGCTTCAGAACTCTGCTTTCTGGATAAGAGAAGCTGAAGCAGTTACTTAAGTGTGAAGGGGAAATGAGAGAGCACAACAGTTCAGTGCTGCTGTGCCACTTTCCTTCAGCACTTACCACAGTGAATTAATAGTCAAGTCAGAGAGGTCTAAGAGCAAAAGCAGGCTCCTGCAGCCAGGAATAGATCCATTGAACCTGTACACTTCCTGAGGAATAGTCTCAGGTTGCCCTCATATTATTACAAGACTCCACTACTTACAGAACTTTAATATATGAATGAAAAACAATTTAGGAGAGAAGGGCAGAGAATTCAATGTATGAATCACGAAGGTGAAGTCCTGTAAAGAACCTGTTTATTTTTTATAGAAAGCCACAACAGAAGATAATTAGTATGTAACTACGTAACATTTACCCCCACACAATTAGCGAATTCATCCAATTCATTTTTTTTAAGTCGTTTTGAGTGTTAATTATAGGAGGACCTTGCTGGAATCATCCTGTGAACAGTTCACTTTTAATAACAAACTCAAGATACAGCTTGCAGTGTTGGTTTTTTACACATAAGCATTTTTATCAAACTGTTTGGAAGGGGTTGTGGTTTTAAAGTCTCCTTCTCCACCATGGTACTTGGTCCGAGAAGACAGGACTGATGTGGCCCCGTTGTATGCATATCCCATTCTGAAAGGAAAAATGTGAAAAAGGACGACTGGTTGGTAATTATAATCTACCTTTTGGTGCAACAAGAACAACAGCAAAGTTCAGAAAACCGTTTCCTCTAATTCTGTAAATAGTTAAGTCTAAACCTTCTCCTGATTACTTTTCATTAAGCTCTCCCTTCAGCCCAAGAAGTATCGTCCTTTCTAGGTTAAGTAACAAACTCTCTGCAGAAGAAACTCCTGGCTTATTCACTTGTTCATTCATTGTTCTTCAAAATTGCCTTTACAAACGTATCCTCCTGGGACCTAAGAACTTAGGGACCCTCATCACTTCCTTCCTCTGTGAAATGATGGTGTGGCTATACGGAGGGATGCTTTTAAGGACCCAGCTGCTGTCTAGATTCCGGCTCTGTCAGAGTAGAACTGTACGTTCACTGTAAGGTTTACATTGGCTGGGTTTTCTGGAAGCAGATTGCCAGGCCTTGCTTCTGAAGGACCTCTGGATAGACTAACCTCCCAACCTATTGTTTAGCAGCTGAGCATGTTAGCCATGTACCCAGGGGCACCACATAAAGAATATGCCCTCATCTTGAGACCTGTGCTTTTAAGGTAGTTGTTGATTTTGTTTCTGACTTCTCTAGGGCCCGTACCCCACACAACTCATCATTAATAGAAGAGCGTACCAACTTTCAAATGCAGTGTCTCAACTCAGAAACAGCTTTAGATGGTAGAAAGGATCAACTGCTTTGTTTATTTTGCTTCCATTAGCTTTACTCCTAACATTCCCCAAGACCGGGGGTTTGAGGTCTCTGAGAATCTTCTGAGCTACGTAGTTTGACTTCCATGTAGAACAGCACTATTTTGTTTTGCTTTTGCAGGTAATGTTTGTTTTCCATACCTGGGTGTTTTGTTGTTGTCAGATATTGAGAAGCAAAATATGACACCACCAATTATGCAGAGTGATGCTCCCGCCCATCCAATGAACAGAGCAGCTCCTAGCTCATACCTGTGAGAGAGTGGCACACAAGCATATGGCTCTTATTTGGGGAGTAAATAGTACTTAACAGTGCCAAACAACAACCGCCATAAAACGTTATTCTAATTCTTTACTACTGGGAGTAATAGCACCTTGTGGCTGTACAATACTTTTACACTTTTCAGAGAGCTTTTGTAGTTTCTTCTCAACATCTTGAAAACAAGCGGACTGAGGTAGAGGACAAACCAAATTATAGTTAGGTCTGCAGACGCCGCCTTCCAGCATCTTTCCTCTGGGCCCTGCCCTAACCTCACAGAGCTCTCCACCCACTGACTCACACGGCGATTACTCAGACCAGTGATGGGGGTCAACCGGCAGCTGTGGGTTTGGATTTGAGTGGTTGGAAAAGGGAAGGTTGCCTTGGTTTTGATCCTCTACATGGAAATCAATAAGCTCTGGTAGTGCGAAGCTTAAAGCACTTGGCTGCCAACCAAAGTCAGTAGTTCAAACCCACCAGTGTCTCTGCAGGAGGAAAGACCTAAAAGTGTGCTCCTGGAAAGACTATAGCCCAGGAAACCCTGTGGGGCAGTTGCCCTGGAGCATCGCTCTGAGTTGGAACCAACTCCATAGCATGCAACAAGTGCGGGTCAATGACAAATATGGTGTCGTCTAATCACTCTATTGGATAAACAAAAACAGATTTTTCAATGGCATTGCTACAATGCACCCTGCTTTGGTGGAAGGCTACAGTGCTTTACTAATCTTAGCAGCAGATGCAAAGATACATATGAAATCCCTCCCTTGGGGAGGTCACCATACAGAGAAGAATGTAAAATACCCCTATTAAAGCGGGTGGAAGGGAATAATGCTACTGGAAAAAAAATTGTTTTGCAATGAGGGCCAGAGAAAATCGTTTTAAAGGAGGAGCATTCACCCCAGAGAAAGAAATGGGGCATGAAAAAGTATAGTGACATCTCAGGAGCTATCTGAGTTCTCGTGGTTTGTTTTTCCTCCTGAAGAAGAAAACTTAAATAGAAGTGATGTTTACCCTTTTTTGGGGGGTGGGGTGGGGTGGGGTGGGGGGAGCTCACAGACCTCCATTGCAAGGCAGAAAATGACGAGCACCAGTCCCGATGCTACATCATCATGAGTGAACCAGGTAAAACACAAGCTGAGTGGAACAAAGAGCCCGCTTTTGATTTAGCAGATAACACTGAGACGTGGAGAAATCAGAGGGGCTTGCTTGGTGAAGAGGGAAGAGCAGGCCCCAGGTCTGCTTTGTCCCAGTTCTGACCACATCCACCCAGGCAGTGTTGGGTCCAAGGCTACACCGTGCTGCTCACAGCAGCTGCCTGGGCCTCATCCTCTTCTCTGCTGTGGCTAATTCTGGACTCTCGTCCTCAGCGTGGTCAGACTTCCCTATTGTCCAGTCACAGCAGTGACAGTGTAGTAGCGCAGCCTGACCCTATCCAGTGAGGGAGCCGCCGTATGCTGAGGACCGGGGACTTACGGTGCACACGCATATTTCCAAATCTGGCTGGGAAGCAATGTCGGGGCCTGCACCTGCCATTGGTGTGGGGCTAGGTACACCATAAAAGCTGCCCTGTGAGCACGCCTCACTCGTTCCTCTTTATGGGAAACCAGTGGGAGAGACGGGTGAACGCCAATGGAAAACCAGAGGGCTTCCTCCTTTTACTGCACTGGGCCCCTGATTAGCATCTGGGAAATTTCCCCAACTGTTCTGGTCAGAGGCCATGGCAAAAATAGCATGGTTGGTGTAATTGGGGGGTGGGGCTGGGGGGTGCAACACTTCTATAGCCTGTACTAAAATCCAACCCAAAAAAGCACTGAAGAGATGCACACGTTTAAAAAATGTTTAAGCTGGCCAGATTGAGTGCTAACCGGAGTTTCATTAATTAATAACAACAACAAAATCTAAACCCATTGCCAGTGAGTCAATTGCTACTGAGTGCCCTTCGAGGGGAGGGTAAAAACTGCCCCTGTGAGTTCCCCAGGCTGTCTGTCTTTAGGGAAACAGAAAGGCTCCTCTTCTGCAGGGTGGTTAGTGGATTTGAACCACCACACTTGCAGGGAGAAGTCCAACAGTATGCAGCAGCATCACCAGAGCACCATGTCTGGTTCTTAGTGATGGAAATGATGATCACAGCGGTCACATATCTAAAAAGACTAGCCTGGATTTCCAGTCAGTCCTGCTTTTATGTGGTTTTTTTGTTTTGTTTGACTTTAAAATTTTTAATAAGTCGTTTTATTGGGGCTCTTACAGCTCTTATAACATCCATTTTTTACAAATCATTTATTGGGGGCTCATCACAATCCATACATCCATCCATTGTATGTTAAGCACATTTGTACATTTGTTGCCCTCATTAGTCTCAGAACATTTGCTTTCTACTTGAGCCCTTGGTATCAGCTATCTACATCCCCCTCCCTCATGAACCCTTGATAATTTAGAAATTTTTATTTTGTCATATCTTACACTTTTATGTATTTTAATAAGATCATGCACTAAAACAGAATGTCTGACAAGTTGTAGGTGTACATATCACTTGTCTTTAAAACATCTGGAAGGTTCTATAGTAAACTTGCATTAGGTCATTTTAATTCTTTTATTACAAAGACAAAGGAATGTGCATGACCACTTTTATGGAAAATTCTACTTGGAGGACATTGTAAGATAATCACAATTTTATGATAATTTTTTCTGCCCCATCCCCACCCCCGAGAGTTTAATCTGTCCACCTTCCTCAGTATAAATATGCCCTAAAAAATGGATTGATTTTCCTTTAAGTAATTAATTTTAGAGTTGTATGAGCCCCTAATAAAACGATTTAAAAAAAAGAAGAACTAGAGGGGGGGAAAAAAGCTCGTGGAAGCTGATGCCAAGGGCTCAAATAGAAAGTAAATGTTTAGAAGATAATGATGGCAACTTATGTACAAATATGCTTGATACAATTGATGCATGGGTTGTTATAAAATCTGTAAGAGCCCTCAATAAAATGGTCTTTTAATTTTTAAAAAAAGGACTTAATTTTACTAAAATAAGATGCAAAAATCAAGTACCACCAAACCTGACAAAATAACCTCACTGCCACGGAGTTGATTCTGACCCATACAACCTTATAGAACAGGGTAGAACTGCTCCCTAGGGTTTCTGAGACTATATCTTTATAGAAGTGGACAGCCTCATCTTTCTCCCACAGAGCAGCTGGTGTGTTAGAACTGCTGACCTTACAGACAGCAGCACGACACCACCAGGGGTCCTGAAACAAGTACTACAACTGATTAAAATAGGTTCTCTTGATTAATAATTAAGGGTGAATATTATAGAAATTCACCCTTTGCGCTATATGAATTCATTTAAAGAACATGTACACAAGTATACAGTGTTGTTACAATTAAGAAGATGAGTCACCCAGACAGGTCAAATGTGATTTGTATCTTCATATTCATTTGAGTCACTTAGAAACTTCTGAAGGGATTAAACAATCTTAAATTTGACATCTTAAAAATGAGTTTACATTCCTGGGGTGAGGACCAGGTAGTATGGCAGGGGCCAGACCAAATCCAGGGATACATATGGTAGCCAACTAAAAAGGGGGGGAGGGGAGAGGAAAAAAAGAAATGGGTAACGGGGCACAGGGCACTAACCCACCCTAGGGGAGGGTGTTGTTTATATCTCCACAGGGAAAGAGGGACCAGACTTCAACCTAGTGCTCCAAGATGTGAATGCAACAGGCCAGCATGGAGTAGGGAACCAGTGGAGAGGCCTGAGGGGCCGGCCCCAATCCCAACTATGTGGACAGTTGCCTCTCCCCCCAGACGAATTTATTTCAGAGGACAGCACTGAATCTGCAGCTCTGGGAGAGGGGTATGTCTGATCAGAGCACACGGGAGCAGATGAAGGGGGAGGAGGAGAGAGTGGAGCACATCCTGGCCCACCAGGCCTTGAAGACGGTATTCCCGCTCAGAGCAGCCAGTCCACAGAAAGGACCAGATGGCCCATAGCCCTAACAGGGAACAACCCTGGAGACAGTGGGAATTCCACCTGATCTGATCCCACCACACCGAGGCAAAACACTAAGGGCGTGGAACAGAACAGCAAGGGGAACAAAGCAACAAAATTCCCAGGGAATTGAGAAACGATGTACAAGTGCGCTTTACACAATTGATGTGTGTATGGATTGGGATAACAGTTGTATGATCCCCTAAAAAAATG